ACGTTTGAGCTGGAGCCTGGGCAGGGAGGGAGAGGTTTGCCATCACTGCTGCAGTCATGGAAAAGCAAGCAGAGTATGTGCTAAGGTGCTAAAATCCATCTGGCAGTTCCCTCACCACACTTATCTTTTGTTGTATAAGCTGATGCAACACCCTCTGCTGTCTTCTTTCCTGCGTAGGTGCTTCTGATCATCAGTGGAAACCTGAGTTTCCTCAACTGGCTAACCATGGTGCCCAGCATCGCCTGCTTCGACGACGTCAGCCTGGGGTTCCTCTTCAGCTCCAGGGTGAAAGAGCGCGTGGTGCAGATGCAGAGCAAAGAGGCAGCCAGGGAGCAGCTTCCCCGGGGTGAGTTATTCCCAGAGCAGAGGCATTTTACAAGGGTATGAAGGGACAGAACAAGGGGAAAGGGTTTTAAATTGACAGAGGGGAGATTAGACTGGATGTTAGGAAGGGATTCTTTACTGTGAGGGTGCTGAGGCGCTGGCACAGGGTGCCCAGAGAAGCTGTGTCTGCCCCATCCCTGGCAGTGTTCAAGGCCAGGTTGGACACAGGGGCTTGGAGCAACCTGCTCTAGTGGAAGGTAGCAACCTGCTCTAGTGGTCTAGTCCCTGCCCATGGCAGGGGGTTGGAACTGCTTGAGCTTCAGGACCTTTACAACCCAAATCATGGGGTGCTTCTTGGAACCCAAATCATGGTGTGATTCTGTGATTTAAAGTCAAGTGTGAAACTCCCAGCACAGTTGGAGGTGAGGATTTTATGTTAGAAGTTGGGTGCAGAAGCAGCTCTTACATTTGCTCTTCTCTCTCCACTGTGGCACGGTGGCACTGTGACCCATCTGCCCTCCTATCCTTTGCACCCATGGGTGCTAGGGCTGCACAAATGCCCTGCTTCCCTGGGTAAGTAACAGGACATGAGGTTGGTCTTGTAGAAAGAACGAAATCGATTGCTGATCCATTGTGGGTCCAACAACTCTTTTGCTAACAGGAAAAGAGCCCTGGCTGCTGGGAATATGGTAAAGCAAATAAAGGGGGGGGTGTAACTGGAGGAGGAGGATCACTGTGGCTGGTGTTTCCTCTGAAGGGAGTTTTCAAGCAGCCCTGTTCCAGAAGATCCCCTGCACAAGCAGCACTGGGATATTTTTCATGGGGCTGCATAACAGATGTAGACTTGTGTTTGTAACAGTTTTATAAACCACGTATAAGCAACAAATTGCCTCTCATATCAACAACAATCACAGATGCTCATTCTTAAACACACTAAACATCTGCCAGAGGAATGAAAAATATCAACAAGAGACAGCATCTGTCTCTAGTCCTTTCTCATCCACCAAGAAACATGGGTTATTAACCAGAAGCTTTAGTTCCAGCAAGGCTAATTCAGTTCCATTAAGCTTTCTGTGTCTCCTACCTTACATACTTTGCTGGAAGAAATCTTTACCAGCTTTTCCTCTCCAGTAGCTTTGCTTGAGAGGCTGGGAATGCCTAAAGCTTTCCTCCCAACTCTATTCTTGCATCCAGTCCCAAACAACACTCAAGTTGCACTTTCCCTTCTGGAGGAGAAGCCAAAGGGCGCTCCTTTGTTTTGGCACTTGGTGAGTCACCATGAGGGGGAGGTAGATTCTTTCTCTTGAGGAACTTGCTCCTTTTCTGTGGTGTGCTCCAGAAAACACCTTACTGAGCCAGGGTGCCCAAGCAAGGAGCAGCACTGGTACATGCCACTGCTCTGGAGGGTCGAGGTGTCCCTTCTGGGCTTTTACAAAGGGGTAATCCATAAGTAAAGGGTAAGGTGTCTGTGATGTTGGGTGAATTTGGATTTCTGTGTACTAACAAAGCAAAGGCTGTTGAGTTGGTGCTGGTAGCAAGAGGTCTAAAGGAGCCCTCACCTCAGGGCTACCAGAGCAGAAGACAGGAGGGTACCCAGCCATGCCCCACCTGTGACCTGATTTTACAAAGCTTTGGCCACATCCTTGAGGTGTGCATGTGTGTGTGTGTGTAATTCCTTCTGAGACCTCCAATTCCCATTGCTAGTGCTCTGCTCCTGCCTGCTCAATCCAGATCCCATTAGCTCATGTCCCCAAGTTTTGCTCCATTCTTGCCATGTAGATTATCTGTGACCCCAAGGGCATGGTGGTGACAATCACCACCTGCTGAAGGACGATCATGGCCGTGCACAGTCCATGTCTGTGGCTGTAGCTGCTCTTTAATTACAGGCTAAGAAGTTCAGCCCATCTAAAAGACAAGAAAATGCCCAACAGACTCCTAGAGTTCTCACAGCAGCACAGGGGGCGAGTGGAGGCATCTCAGTGAGCTCCTTCCAAATCACATGTTCTCCAGAAATGTTCTCAGACTAAACAATTATTAATAGCTTCTGAGAGAGGTTCAAATAAACATCCCTCTCCTGCAGAGATAAGGGGGAAGCTACATGCAATTGCTTTGAATCTGATCCTTTGGCTGTTGATGTTAAATAAATCTAAAATGGCCATGAGGGTAGGAACCCCTCCGAGGTCACATCTGCTTATTTGTCTGATTGCAGTCGGTGTCTCCTTAGACTGAAATCCAGCACAGCCCTGTGCTGCTCCTGCAAACCCAACACCAAAGTGCTGGTGGATAGATAAGCAATAGAGACTTTGCAAAAGGAAAATGAGGTTTGAATGAAGGTAGTGAGTGAAAGGCAGGAAAATGCAAGAAATAAGACGGGTGGTGAGAGCCTGGAGCAGCCACGGGGAGCTGGAGTCTCTCCATACACAGCTTAGAAACCAGGAGAGCAATTCTGAGCAAGGTGCAAGTGCCAGCTGTGTTTTTTCCCTGTATAAAAGCACTGTTTAATGTGACATTTTAGACATTTTTCTTTTCAGCCCTTTCTCAGACTATTTAGAGAAAGGCAGATCTCGGGATGATAGCGTATGGCCCTTGGCAAGGTCAGGGTGATTACGGTGGAGTGTTTGTCAGCCCCAGCTTGGGAGCAGCTGTGAGCACCCAGGCAGGGTCCTGGCCATCATGGGGTCCCATTTAGGGGAGCAGGGAGGAGAGCAGAGTCCATTGCTGGCAGTGAAATTACCTTCTTCTGGTCTGCTTTTGTGTCATGAACAGGCTGCTATATCCGCAAAGTGGTGAACGTCTCCTTCGGCCTCCTCATTGCTTATCTCAGCATCCCGGTTGTCCTAAACCTGCTTAACTCCAGACAAGTCATGAACACCTCGTTCAACCCTCTCAGGATAGTGAACACCTATGGAGCTTTTGGAAGGTACATGCATACCGTTTTGCTTTGCTTCTCTCTCCAGGATAGTCCAACAGCCAGCGTGTGTGTGCCTTAAACCTACACAGACATCCTTCCAGTAGCCAGTCGACTTGGAATATCTATTTATGGGAGAGAAAGAGAAAAGGAGCAGGTTTCTTTCCCACTGAATTATCATAGAATCATAGAATAGTTAGGGTTGGAAAGGAACTTAAGATAATCTAGTTCCAACCCCCCTGCCATGAGCAGGGACACCTCACACTAAACTATGTTGCCCAAGGCTCTGTCCAACCTGGCCTTGAACACCTCCAGGGTTGGAGCATTCACAACTTCCTTGGGCAACCTATTCCAGTGCCTCAGCACCCTCACTGTGAAGAACTTCTTCCTTATATCTAACCTAAACTTCCCCTTTTTAAGTTTATTTTCTTTGAGCCACGTTTAGTTAGCTCATTATATTGATGTAACAAATGTAATAGTGGGATGAAAATAGACATAAGAGAATTCAGCCAGTGGATAGTGTTCGCCATCACCAGCCAGCTTTATTTATGGTGAGCTTCTCTTCCCCTGTTCACATTTGCTCTCCCTCATGTAAATATTCACATAAGCTATTGAGTAGCAGGTTTTAGGCCAACAAAAGGAAGTGCTTTTTCCAATGAGTGACTTGGGGAATTCGTTGCTACAGGAAATTGTGGAGACGAAAGTATAAATGGCCTCAAAAAAAGAAGAAGACAGATCGATGGGACAGGCCCAGAAACGGTCTGGCTGCTGCCCTCTGAGACATCTTCCTTGAGTCTTCCAGTGCTTAGAGGGGGGCCTACAAGGAACCTGGAGCGGGGCTTTGGACAAGGGCCTGTGGGGACAGGACAAGGGGAATGGCTTTAACCTGCCAGAGGGGAGATTGAGATGAGCTCTGAGGCAGAAGCTCTTCCCTGTGAGGGTGCTGAGGCGCTGGCACAGGGTGCCCAGAGAAGCTGTGGCTGCCCCATCCCTGGCAGTGTTCAAGGCCAGGCTGGACACAGGGGCTTGGAGCAACCTGCTCTAGTGGAATGTGTCCCTGCCCGGGGCAGGGGGTGGAGCTGGGTGAGTTTTGAGGTCCCTTCCAGACCAAACCATTCCATGATTCTGTGAATCAGGGCTTCATCAGAACAGCTTGCCCCAGTCTTCTGGGGCAAGAACTGGACAACAGGGCCAGTCTTCTCTGCATGGACCTCTGTCTTGGCCACCACCATGGTGGCCATGGAGTGTTCCCCAGAGGTTTGAGCTGAGTGGTGGGATGGCAGCTCGTGGTTAGTGGTCTCTGGACAAGGTCCCAAAGGAGAAGCCAGTAGTAATTAAATAGGATTTCTAAGCAGGTTGGCTGTGGGGAGGACTGGCTGAGCGGGTGGTGAAGGGGAGGAGCAGGTCTCACCCTGAGCACTGGGGATGCTGAGGACACCTTGAAGCCCATCAAATTAATATGATATTTTCACCCATTTTTCAAACAGAAGAAATTTCAGTGGAATGAAAAAACTTAGGAAAAAAAACACGATTACAAATACCATGCTTAATATAGTAAAAATAAGCACTGATTGTGGAAAATGCTGAAGTTTCCTCTTCTTTTGAGAGAGAAGGAGAAATAACCCCTGAACCTCTTTGAAGGCTCGAGTGGTGAAGCTACGGGAGATTGTTTTCTTTGGGTTGTTGTTCTTTTTCTTCTTCAGTCTATGGTTTCTGTTTCAACAGTTACCAGAACCTAAAGAGCATGTGATGAAATGCTGCTGTAATATGTTTGTAATTCCAGCCTATGTAAACCAATAAAAAGAGGATTGCAGCTTATAATGAATATACGATTATGTGAAACTTGACATATTTTGAATCACACAGTAGGAACATACTTTTATTAGTAATTTGGTGTCCCTGATTTACAGTGTGTTTCTAACCATTGGGCAGCTGGCCACAGCTCATAACTCAGCCCAGTGAATAATATGGAACTTGGCTGGAGAATCCAGAAATCTATTAAATGTAGGTAACAATTATAAGCAGAGACGTGCAGCGTTCCTTGGGTTGTAAGCATCTATCACTGGAAGCCATCGGGGGAGAAGGTGGAGGCTGTGTGTTTCCAAACTTTCAGTTTCTTGGGTTGGAGGAGGAAGGACCAAAGTAGTAAAAAATGGAAAGGGTGCTGGGAGCTGGACAGCTTTGATAGGCAGAGTTAGGCAGTTATGTGTTCGTTATGGAAAACAGCTCTCCAGTGTAGGCGAGCGTCACTCGCAGGTCATTGAGAACTTGACGGCGCTGTTTTCACATGAGCTTTCCATGGCCTTCAGTTTGCCATCCTCACAGCTCTACCACCTTGCTGTGCAGAGACAGTCCAACCAGGCCCCAAAGGGAATACCTATGACCTGCCATAAGGCTGAGGGGCTTTTAAACTGAGTTTCTGTACATCAGCTGGGTATGGGGGGCCTTTTTGTTTTCATTTTCTGCTTTGCTTGGCTTGGTTTGTGTTGGCTCACATGTTACCTCCTCCTCCTCTTGCTGAGTAATAGCTCCACGAGACCTGTCTTCCAGCCAGGATGGTGAAATGGTTGGGCACATAGAGACAGCTGTTAATGGTGCCCCAAGACTCAGCTCCTGGGGGGTGCTCCATATGGGGCCAACCACCACCCCAAAGCTCAAGGAGCTGCAGCCAGTTGACCTGGGCTCATGGTGAGCGTGTCCTGCCCTCTGCCATGGCCAAGGTTGGCACTGGGGCTCAGCACCCTGTGGCCAGCAGTGCTGTGGGGAGAGCCAGGCATGCAAAGGGGATGCTGGAGTGGTCTCAGCCAGAAGCTCCTCTGCTGATCCTGCAGATGGAGGTCTCGGGACTAGACCTTCGAGGCAGGATTTCTGTGTGCAGTTGCCTGTGAAACCTCCCTGCCTTGCACTGGCACAACTGCAGTGTGATAGAGGGGAATGTGGGAGGGAATGGAAGCTGAGGTTTTCCCTGTGCATTGCTGCTGGAGAGAGAAAAGGCTGGACACACAGGTTCTCTGTAGCTTGAGCCATCAGGATCCAACCTTACCATGAGGCCGTTGACTTGTGTTGTCACGTTGACTCTCGTTTTACCTGACTTGAGACAAACCCCAATATTATGTTGTATCCCACAGCATTACCAAGGAGAGAACAGAAGTTGTCCTTCAGGGGACATCCAGCCTGGATCCCAATGACCCCGCTGCTGTCTGGGAGGAGTTTGACTTCAAATGCAAGCCTGGGGACTTGAAGAGGAGGCCATGCTTCATCAGCCCCTACCACTACCGCCTGGACTGGCTGATGTGGTTCGCTGCCTTCCAGGTAAGTGCCTTTGGGGCTTCTGAGACTTGGGTGTCCCTTGACCAGGAAGAACTATTTCTATGAATTTACTGTGTACTGGGATGGGTCTGGGAATACTTGAAGCCCCTTCTAAGTTAATTATGTTAAAAAAGAAAGAGGTTGTATTCCTAAAGGGTGTCTGCTAATAGCGTGATGAAACTCTTGGGAAATTTGTGTGAGGCTTTTTAGTTGTTTCTCTGCAATAGTTAAAGTTTCTCTGCAATAAGAAGAGTTAAAGACATTGAGAAAGCCCCTGGATGTGTCAGGGTGGCAGCATCTCCAGCTGCCCGCTCCAACCTGCATCGCCGCTGGGACACCCCTGGGACCTCAGCAGTTGCTTCCACTGCCTACCTGTGGACATAGGGTTCCTCAAAATACTTTCCCCCATGGTATCAGCAAACAGGTGACAGCCATAAATTAAAAAAGGGGGAAACTGGTTAAACTATTTCTTGTATCTCTTTTAGCTTATTCTGCAAAATGTCCTTTGCGTGAGCATGAGAACTTAGACCGGGTTTTGTTTTACAGAACTGGGGCTTACAGAAGAGGTATGAGGCAAACCCATCTCAGATTATCACAGGCTTTTCTCTTTGTTCCTGCATCCTGTATCTTCCTCTTCCTTCACTCCTCTCCCCCTGCCCCAAACTTCCCTGTTTGCTTTCTTTGTGGTATTTTCATTTAGGCGCCGTTTGGATTCCTCAGCGGTGACATAACCATCGCTCTCTGGCCATGGGTTTATATTTACCCCCTTAGTTTTTGTGTGCTGGAATTTCATTTAATCTGCATTAGGTATGCTTATCCCTCAGCAAGACGACAGCAAAGGTTAAAACTCAAGCCAGCAACAGTGCCCAGCATTACATAGAGGTGCAGAAGGGTGAATGGGAGCTCTTGGTTTAAATCTGACAGTATTCGGTAGCGGAAAAGAAATCCAGCAATCCCAAGAGAAGGTTCTTTCTGAGATGAGAGTAAGTCTGTTTGTTTCCAGGGCAGGAATGTCCCGAAGGCTTTAAAATAGAAAGTGATCTCAGGTTTAAAATAAAAGGAGGATGGGGCATAAATACTGATGCATCACAGGCAAGTGGAGGCTGTGATGCTGTTACACGCAGCGCTGTCTCTCTGCAGAGCTGACTCAGGTGCTGAGTGACTGGGATGGACAGGACAGCCTGGGGAGGAGGAGGAGGAAGAGGAAATGGCCTCTTTGCATCTTCCTTATTAGTGCTCAGCTCACTGAAAGGTCCCCCCAAGTGTTTCTGTTCACCTGGGCCCAGGGGCTGCTGGAGCATGTGTCTGATGATGGGTCTGTCCACACCAGCTCATTAGCAGCAATTAGCACTGTGGGTCTCCTGGTGCTGGCAGGAGGAGGGAGCGTGGCTCCTGCTCGGGTGGGTCAATGCTGGGGGTGTGCATCAGCCCTGGAGCTCAGCACTGGCTCCATCGCAGCGTGTGCATCCTGTGTCCACCACAGCACTCTCTCATCCTTTCCTGCCCCTGGGGACCTTCCCATGGCTCCCGGTCCACCCAGGTCTCTGTGAACTAATTCCAGATCCTGCTCAGAGGAGGTATTAACAAAAGATGTGGAAAGGAAGTAAAAAAATACCTTCTGGAAAGTGGGGATGACTCCTGTTGAAAACCTTGGGAAGGCAAGTAGCCAAGGCACGGCAGCAAGCATTTTCAAATCTGGATGTTCAGGCATGTTGATACCTGCTTAAGCATGGAAGGAAATCCCATTCAAAGTGGCCAAACGTTTGTTTGCAAACCGTGAGCAGTGTCTTGGGTGCCAGCTCCTGGCAAAGCTGGCTGTCCTGCCATCGTCCAGGAGAAGTCACTGCTGTTGGGCTGTTGTTTAGACTTGAGTCGCACAGAGCTGCAGAAAGGATGAGAAACCAGAAGCCAAAACCCCAGAAGGAATCTGTGCAGCCAGGCAAGTTTCACAAACCCCACACAGCAGTTTACAGAGTCCATAAAACCGCGTTACTTCAGCCTCTGGATTAGTGGAATTTGGGTTTAGAAGTTCTGGATTTTTTCTGCACCACGGCTCGCCGTCTGCCCCATCACTTCCTGAGCAGGCGGCCGCGGGGCTGGTTCTGCACTTCCTTGGCAGTGGCCAGGTCAGGAGCTGACATCTCCAGCTTTGACAGGCTGCAGAAAAGCTGGGCACTTGGGGGAAAGATATTTACCATCCCTTTGTGCTGCTCGTGACAGGTTCCTCTTTGCACCTCATCACCACTTGACATACGACGCCTTCCTCTGCTCCGGGTTTCCTGCAAAACGTTCCACCTTGGCTGTAGCTGCAGGATTCCCTTTGAAGAGCTGGAGCTCAGGAGGGCCAGGCCCTTGGCACGGAGCAGCCACGGCGCTGCTCCACCTCTGGATTGCAATTATTAGTTGACTGCTTCTTAATTACCATTCCAGTAGTGCCATAATTACACGTCATGTAACACGGCATTATTTTCCAGGAAACAATTTTCCTTATGTTAATTTTATTATCTAAATATAATATGCCTTTTCACTTGTTTCCTAAATCCCCTCTTTGTTTCCTATGTCTCGACATCCCGAGGGTGCTGTAGCTCTGAATTGAAGCCCTTCATTTAGTTCTGGCAGGGACAGAACCCATCCAGAAACATGTCTGTGTTGCTTCTTCCCGTCTGTAGAAGAGGAAGAACTCCCACAACCCGGCAGCAGTGTGTGGAAATCTGTGTGGCCCTTTTCAGTTGTTTCCCAGCAGCCGCCTCAGATGGGATCCCTTTGCTCCATCACCCAGCTGATAAGCTGGACTCCTCTGTGCAGAGCTGATCAGGGTGCTCTCAACAGAAGTAATGTCTATCGGTCAGAAGCTGATGTTCAGGTGCTTGCTGAGGTTGGTTGCTCCGGACCAGTGACTTCCATCGAAGGAGTTTAAATTAAGGTCTAATTCCACCTAATGCACACTTAATGAATACTATTGCTGGTGCAGGTCCAGAGAAGGGCAACAAAGCTGGTGAAGGTCTGAGCAGACACAGAGAGGTGAATGGTGATGCCCACGGGCTTCATGAAAGCCTCTTGGGCTGAGTGTGCATCTTGAGATGAGCACAGTGTGAAAGGGCAAACATGGTACCACAACAGGCAATGTCTGTCCTCCAGCTGCTGATGGCAGCACTCCTGTAATTACTTGACTTCTCATTTCTGGTGGGCATTTGTGGGAGCCCAGCCATCACAGCCCAGAACTGAGCTACGCTGTGCTGCTGGCACAAGAAGTGTTACAACTTTTGGCAGGCTGCGGGTGGATTCAGCATCTTTAATAAACAGCAGCCAGAAAACAAAATACTGCTCATAGTTTTGGGGCTTCACGTTGGTCACTTTTCCTGGTAGTGGGATGGCTTGGAGTTTACAAAATCCAGTTGTTTATCCTACCACAGATTTGTTCCTCACCAGTGGGCAGCAGTGGAAAGCCGTCAGTGCCTTGAATAAAGGAAAATCAAAGGGAAGGCTTTTCCCTTTCTTACTGTGGCATGAAGGTTATGTATTCTGTTAGGGGACTACATCTCACCAACGTGAAGACACATTCTTGGTGCTTACCAAGTAGCTCAGAAAATAACAAAGCTAATGCCATCTTCATATCGTGTTTTAAAGCCCGGGGTCTTGTTGCATTGTACCTTGAAGCTGCTCCAAAGGTCTCTGCGTATCAGGACTGGCACAGAAGCTGCTTAGACAAGTGTCCCCGGTCACTGTGTCCTACACAAACCATCAGCAAACCCACCACCAAGCAGCGTTTGAGATGCACTGAGAAGCAACGTGTGTTTTCTAGATACAACGTGTAAGTAAGTTGATTTATAAACTTCAGCTGCCTCCCTAAGAGAAGAGAGAAACTTCAGCAGCGGGATTGGTGCTCTGAGGATCTCCCCTGGTTGGTAACGGGGTGTTGTGATGGAGACTTCACGTTACCACACGCAAACTGGAAGAGCTGAGAAAAAGTACCCCTGTTTGTAGAGAAGGCACATGAATACTTTTGGAAAATGCTTTGTTCAAGCCTCTGTTATCTTGGTCTTCCATCCAGAAGGTGCTTACAGGCAGCAGAATGGAGGAGGAGGTGTGCGTAACGTAATGAAACCTAAACCTCCTGCGCAGTGTACTAAGCTCAGCCTTTTACATTTCCTTTCTTCCCCCTTCTAAAAATACAGGCCTCAGTGCACTTCCACTTTCCATTGCAGCATTCATCCAGTTTGGTCCACGTTCAGCGTGGAAGGGTTTGATTTTCTTCTTTTAACCATCATTAGTTGTCTCCCTGTGAATATGAATCATTCCAAACCCCCAGGCTGCATTTGGACAGCCTGCAGGCTGGATCACGGGCTCACCTTTAAGAGTCATATTGTGATGGAAGTGCCCAGAAACCCAAATAAGACCGATAGCCTATCGTGCCACGGGCTGTATAAATACAGTGAGACCTTGTCTATGCAGGGAATGATTCTTGTCTACAGTGGCTATTGTATCTCCCTGTCTAGACTCTATTCTGGAACAAAGTGACTTTTCTTTCCAAAGCAGAGGTGATACGGGAGCTATGCCAGGTGTGTGATTTCCCTGCATAGGCAAGATCTAAGAGCCAGTTCCCAAAGTCTTGCTTCCTTCTCTCATACAGCCTTTTATTCCTCAGCCCGGGCCTGCTGTGCTCTCACTGCACCCGTTGCCTCCGGGGACCTGCTGCTTTCCCAGGCATTTCCAATAGGACAAGCTAAGAGATGGCTTTTAGTGAGGCTTGGGAAACTGCCCCTGCTGAAATACTATACGTTGAGCCAGACCTGCAGGGAAACAGCTTTCGTCTTTGGGAAACTAATAGAAAGAAGGGGATGTGATTATTGGGGATAATAAGAAGGGATGCAACCTGGTGTAGCCTTTGACCTTCCTTGGTTAAGTCACTCGGGCAGCAGGATGGTAACAAACAGCCGTGAGCTGGAGTATTGTAAGAAAGCAAAGGGATGCATTAGTTATACCCTCTTTTCTGTGGGACGTGGGTTATTTCTCCAGCTGAGAGCTTACATTCCCTAAACAGCAATAGCTGAAGGTGCTTAACTACAGCAGTGTAAGCAGCAATGGGAATATTGGGTGAAAATATCCCGGATGGGGGTGTTAAGGTTTTCCATCCCGCGGTGGGCAGGCTGTGATGCAAAACGCTCCCGTGACACAGCACGGGAAACATAAACCTCCCCTTCCCCTCTGTCATCCACCCTCACACACCGACGCCGAGGTGAAACGGTGCAGGGCTCCCAACCATGTGAAATAATAATGCTGGGCTCCCGTGCCAAGTTTCCAGCTGTTTCCACATGTGCATCTCATACTTCCCTCCTCCCGTGCGCCTGTGCCAGGACCGAGATTCAATAAAATGCCACACTAATCCACAGTCCTTTTTCATTAAATGACCAATTAAAGCTAAAGGAAAAGGGTTCTTATTATTATTATTTCAGTTGGGAACATGTTCCCTGTAGCGCCGGGTGGGTTTTATATGGATTTTTGGTGATGATTATGTTCTCTTCTACTTTGTTATCTCTGCAGTGCTGTCGCTGCTGCGGCTGCTTTGCCACAGCTCCTCGCTGCTGCCTGACTTAGCAGTGATTGAGGTTTAAACTGTGTAAAGTTATTAAATGCTTCTGTATAGAAGTTAATGTATTCAAGGTGAGAATGTGCTTATACACTGGTAAAGTGTCAGAGAATATCAACAGCTCAGGAGAAGTCTGAGGGCAGAGTGGCTGCTGGGATGCTCAGCCCCTCGTGCTGGCCTATGTGTGGGTAAGGAGGAGGAAATCTCCATCCCAAAGCAGCATTGGCAGCGAGACTGGCACAGAAAGCCTGTCAGGAAATAAAAGCTCGTGGGGTTTTGTCCTCTTGTTAAGTCCACTGTGTTATACTTAAAGCCTGATTTTTGGGGGTCTCAAGTGCTGGTACCAGTTGTAAGGAGAGTTGAAGATGATCTGGTTTGCTGGAGGACAGTGCCTGTAGCATTACTGGGAGTCTGCATGGGCTGTCTCTGAACATGGAAAGGCTTTGGCTTGGTGATAAAGGTCCTTTCTCAGGTATTTTCATTGGGTTGATGATGAGGCTTTTGTGTGTTTAGGTTCCTTAGTTGCTTTCTGTGCTGAAACAGAAAGAAAACTCTTGTAAGATAAAGGAGGGAGGCATGTCCTTCGTTTTGAGGGTGCCCCAGGGATGCTCTGCTCAGGGTCAGATAGTGACTTGTGCAGCTCGTGTTTTGGAGGGCAGGAGGTATGTGTTGGAGCCTTGGTCCGTGCCTGTGTCTTGATAGAGCAGCCTGGGGACCCGTGTTGCTGGTGCAGGGTCAGTCCCAGCTGCTTCTCTTTGTGCTCCATAAAGATCCCAAACCTCAAGATGAACCTGATACACACGTGTCTGCCCATCTTAAAGCAATGGGGGCATCTATCCTGGCTGCTAATGCTATTGTTGTTATTATTGTTGTTATTGTTATTAATAATCCACTGGCTGATTCAGGCTCTGACTCTCCTGTTTTGCACACTCAGAGTTGGCAGAAGCTCAGTACCAGGCAAATCCCTCCCATCCCGACCATCACCACACTGCGGACAGTGTTTGCATCCTGGGTCCCACTGGATCCACAGACAGAGAGAGGAACCATCACTCTGTGGTGTGATGCTTCCCTGGACACAGCCCAGATCTCCTGGACTCTTTTTTCTCCTCCCTTTGCCACCATATCACTTTACAGAGTGATGAGTTAACCAGCGCGGTCGCTACTCCTCCGAGCATCGCTGGTGTGCGGTATCTAAGCCTTGGTGCTGGGGGGAGTGCGGGGGGGCTGCTCCGGGTGGAAATTTCTCACCACAGACTTTGCTGGGGCCAGACATGTTGTAAACTTTACAAGAAAAACACTTAACAAACCAGAAGTCCAACTCTGGTGCGCATGGAGCTGCTAATTAATGATTTGGAGACTGTGCGAGCCAGGGAGCCAGTCCCACCACTACAGACCCTCCTGGGTTTGAATCAGGCTTTGAAGATTTGGGGTCCTCCGTAAAGCTCTAGCTCTGGGAGTCTGGTGATTTCTCTTTCTGTTCTTCTGCTTCTCCCGAACTTGCACACAGGAACCCTCACACCTCCCAGACCCTCCTAGAAATAGAGCTTAAAATCATACAGAGCACTTTAAAGAGGGATGTCGAGGGAGGCACTGGATGCTGAAGATCTGACTTGGGATATTTGATCACCCGCAGCTGCTGCTGCACCTCTCGGGAGGTCCTCACTCACAACCAAGGACTCTTCAGGTCCCAGCACCCTCCCAAAGCCTGACCTGAAATGAGCATCTCGGGCATCATGGAGCTTTCGGGGGACACAGAGTCCCTCAGCACGGGTGGGAGTCTCAGTGTGAGCTGCCCCATGATGACATGACCAGGTCCTTGGCAAGGATGGCGCTGGCTTTTCCTGCAGCCCTGCCAGGTTTGCAAGGTTTGTGTTTAACATCTCATGTGATGCCAAGCTCCTGGCTCCAGGACTCACCATGTTTTCCCTCCTGGATCAATGTGTTGGGGCAGGGACTGAGGTTGCCCGGTCCCTCCTTGAAAGCCACCACCACCTTTGTGCCAGGAGGTGGGAAACAGGGTGGCATGAGATGTTGGTGGACAGAGGGGTGCACTAGAGGGTAAATGGTGCTTTAGGGTGGACAGAACAGGTACGGGGTGACTGCAGCACCCATCCGTGTTGGTGCTGGAATGAGCCACACAGTGAGGCAGGATGGAAGCAGGCAGAAGGGGAGAGAAATCTTCTTTGCAACCTTGTTGTCTTAAATAACTGTGGTTTTCCTCTAAATTGTGATGAGCACAGGTCAGGAACCCTGTGAGGCAGAGCTGCCGCTTGATGCGCCTTCCACCAGCGTTTGATGTTCTCCATCTCTGCTTTTTCTCTCCTCTGCTTCCCTTAGCAACGGGAATAACAAACTTTGCCATTAGAGAAGCTTTGCAGAGTAACTTTGCCTTCGTGCTCTGCCTTAGTCACAGTCCTGCAGGTACAGCTGCTGGGTTTCGCTTTCCCACAGTGTCCCCTACTGCTTGCATTCAAAAATCCATTTACGTACCCATGAGAAAAGGAGGAAAATAGAATCATAATGGAAGTACAAGGCACAGAAAGTCACCAGAAGGGGAAATGCTTCTTTGGAGCCTCAGCAAGAGCATGAGATGCATGGATTCCTGCAGGGAGGGAAGTGCAGAGTCAGGTTCTGCTGCTGCAGCTCCCAAGAGCCGAGTTGCTTCCATTCAGTGGCTGCGTGGTGAAGGGGAAGGCACAGGCATGGGGTGTCAGGAGGACAGAGAGATGCAAGGAAATAAAGGGGAGAGAGGAACTGGGAAGAGAGAAGTCACTTTCTTCTGTTTTCTCTTCGATAACACAACATGGAAAGCAACCTCGTTAAAGCAATGGATGGATTGGCATTTTGAAATGTGCCATTGCTGTCCTCTGTGGGGCTTGCTGCTGGAAGAAATTATCTGAAACAAGTATTTGGGGTGCAGAACTGGCAAGAATGCTCCAACTGTGTTAGAGATATGTGAAGTCAAAAAGAGATTTGTGATTCAAGGTGTAGGAGGAGCCACAGTCAATGGGTATTAGGGAGAACCAGGGGTGGTGGGTGCCCCTCGCTGAGGGAGGGGCTGCGTGTGTGCTGTACGTGTCCTGCACCAGCGATGCTCTGTGTTTTCCTGGCAGTGGCAGTTGTAGGCTTCTCCTTGGCACAGGAATGATGCAGGGGGGCAGAAACACCTGGAGCAGAGGTCTCTGTTTGGGCTGGGTGAGAGTGAAGATGAATCCCCGACCATCATCTAGTCTCTGTCATGAGCAGAGCTGTGGCCACTGGCCATGGGCACACTCTTTGGTGCCTCAGCTGCGATGTGAATTCCTTTAGGGATGCTTGGAGGATGCAGGATGCTGCTTTGCAGCCTGGGGAGACTGGAAAGGTACGTGTAGCCGTCCCAGCTCAGCTAACGAACAACGCTTTCAACCTTTGTGACTTGCACACCCTCGGTTGTGTCCGTACCCTTGGGAATGATTTCCATATGAGACAAGCTCAATGAAGCTCTCCCTGCTCCCTGCAGATGCCAGAGGGTCTCAGTCTGGACTTCAGGGTGTTGGATCCCGCGGGATCTGTTCCCTGCAACACACTGTTTGCTACCTGAATCAGTTATAATCTCTACCCAGAGACCACACAGAATTCTTTAGTACTAATAACACAACACAAGCAGCCCAGCAGCACCTGACATTTCTATTTCTTATTCTTTCCCCAAGACCTATGAGCAGAATGAATGGATCATCCACTTGGCTGGGAAGCTGCTGGCTCAGGAAGAGGAGGCCTTGTCCTTGATGGCAACGAACCCCTTTGCAGGCAGAGCACCTCCACGGTAAGCTTTGAGTTTCATCAAGGACCTGGAAGTACCTGGACTCAGTGATGTTCCTGTCTTGGCTGTGCACACATGGTTTCGGTTGATAGATTGGGGTCTGTACTTGGTGGTACCCAGATGATCTTTAAATAGTGGGGTTTATATGAGGACACCATGAAGAGCTGGTGCTCTCAGCACCTTAATGCTTTCCCAGTTGGGACACAAGGACCATGGCTGAGCCCGTTCCAAAGCAGGTCTGTGAAGGGCTCAGCGTTGCTTCTCTTGGACAGGAATCATGACCACTGAAGTGGTTTCCTGCCCAAAGGCCTTAGATTTTTTGCCATGATCACTCTGTGAGCCCCAGTTCTACCGGCCTACGGAGGTATTTCAAAGACAAAGCAGAAGAAATGATTGTTTTCGTGGACACTTGTCTTGGAAGTGTTTGTGTTTTGAGAGAGGAGACAAAGCAAACACCAGCAAGTGAAAGGCACAGATGAAAAACTAAACATTTTTAACAAAAGGAGATTTCTCACAAAAGTCTCTGTTTTGTTGATGAAGTTATTTTTAGCTGAGAAAACATTTTAAGGGAATTTTGGATCAACTCAAGTAATACCAGGCTCTTGCTAATATTTTCCATTTGAGGCTCTTAGGATGCACTGCAAACAAGGAGGCAGGTTCGCAGCACTATGTGAAATGAACTTCCTCTTGAACCCTGCTGATGTTTTTCAGCTTCAGCACAGTGCATCCCCCAGACCTGCTGAGGAGAGACTCCTTTTCCAGCTAAGGCACTAAGTACTTCCACCTTTTACCAAGGCACTTCCTCTGACATGGTTTATGTACAACCTGTATTGTGTTGGCTCCGTCTCAGGCGGTTTTATCACCTGAGTCTCACCCATCTTCCCTCACATCCTCAAGGTTCAGTGCCAAAAATTCACTGACATTCGCTGCAGGGTGTTCTTTGCATTGATTTCTTTTATTAACAATAATAATAACTACAAGAAGGATGAGTGTTGGCTGACTCCAGGGCTTTTAAGCAGGACCTGGGACCTTTAGCCACTAAGTCACCAGTTTGAATTAGGTGTCCCCTGGTGCCAGCGGCCAGAAGCCAGGACCATCTGGTGGCTGCTGGCAATAAACAGCTCTTGTGGTTCATGGAGCGACAGAAGCATTTGATAATCCCAGGCCTGTTTATTATCACGTGTCCCCCAGTGCCATAAATGTTGCTGTTGGTATTCATCATGTCTGAGGCTGAAAATAAGCCCTCGTAATAGATTGAAAATCAGTAAATGTATCTCACATCTTGCCTTACAAGACTTCACCATAGACAGGCTGCATCTCCACTGTGCTTTCTGGCATCACTGATGTTAATTAAAAGGAAAATAAAGTAGTTGAACACAAGAACTCATTTTAAAATGAAAATAATGACGTGGGATGTGGCTGGGATAACACTGCATTGCTCCAGGTGGGAAATAGGGGGGTTTATTGTAGTCTCTAACAGGTGAGGAAATGAAACGTTCAGGATTTTAAAGCAAATCTTTATCTGAGTTAGTTTTTATAGGATAAGGATTGCAGAGCATTCAGGGGAACACAGGCTGGTCCAGTGAGTAATTACACAGCAGCGTGGATGCTGTTGAACACACGGAGCTGTAGGTTTTGTGGAACAGGGTCTTGATTCATGCGTTACCCTGGTTTAAGCAAAGCCCAGCCTCTGTTTTCACTCCTTAGCAGCTAGTTTATAGGAGGAAAAGATCAGGATCCAGCGCTGGGTTTATGTGGCAGCTGCCTTCGCTCTGGCATTAACTTTGCTTTCGAAGTTTTTCATGGGTCTGGGGTATTTTTGGGTGGTGTAAAATAAAAATAACAATTTACAAATGTTTGTTTGGGCTCAGGCCAACATCCAGCACCTCTTTTCACTCCACATCCCAGGTTGTGGCTCATGTTTCAGGCTTTGACCAGCCAAATCCCAACACCTGAGACATTGGCGCCATCAGGATTGCACCCAAGTGGGAAGGTGAGGGCTGGGAACACAGAGGGTGCTCAACATGCCCTGTGCTGGGGTCTGGGTTGGATCCTGCACTGGGATCTCCCATCAGTCACCAATTTCTGTTGCTATTTGCATTTATTGATCATTCCTTGTCTGTGTTATGTGACCATTTGCCTTCTTTTTTCCCTGTTTTTGTGCCTCACCCCAGTTCTTCCAGGTTTAGGTGAATAGAATTCGATTAATAGAATTCAATTAATAGAATAATTAGATCTTAGGCAGAAGCTCTTCCCTGGGAGGGTGCTGAGGCGCTGGCAGAGGGTGCCCAGAGAAGCTGTGGCTGCCCCATCCCTGGCAGTGTTCAAGGGCAGGTTGGACACAGGGGCTTGGAGCAACCTGCTCTAGTGGAAGGTGTCCCTGCCCGTGGCAGGGGATTGGAGCTGGATGAGCTTTAACATCCCTTCCAACCCAAACCAGGCTGGGATTCTGCTTCTCTGATTGTGCCCACCGCAGCTCAGCTCCCTTCAGTAGCTGGGTTGAAAAAAAGCCTAATTTTCCTGCCATATTCCACCCCCCTTCACTCAAAAGGGAATTTTGAGACTTAATTATTTTCATTCCCTGCTAGACTAAATAATTAGGGGAAGGGACTGTTTTCCATAAGAACATTACACTCCATACTCCACGGAGTTTATTCTGTTAATGGAAACTCTACACCTTCAATAGCCAAGGGACTTTCAGAATGAGTTAATGCCTTCAAAATGAAATTTCGGAGACCAAAGTTTGTAGGTTTCTTTACAACTCTAGAAATTATAGTATTTTTTCAAGTGTGATAAACTTAAAATGAGAAACAGGTGACTGATTAAAAATGAGGGTATTGTTGAGCATTCAGCCTAGCTGAGTGTGAAGCTTTACTTCAAGCACGGTGATGTTTGTGGAATGTGGATTTACCAAATACGCTTGGGCAGCGGATAGTTCATAAAACACCAGCCCTCATAAATCTGAACGGTAGGGCTTTGGCTGAGAAATTCATAAGTGTTTAACACACCGTCATGGAAACAGACTGCAACAATAAAAGAAAACAAAAGTCAGGGGGTTGCCTGCAGGAGGAGGTAAAAAAGAAGCCCAGTTTGTTATTTTTGACCTGAAGTGTTTGGTGTCTCTGATATTAAATCACGTTCACTTAAGGACTTTTATTCCAATTATAGTAGCACTTTGTTGAGAAAGGCCCCAACATGGATCTGAAGACCTGGATTTGTAGTGGTGGTGTTATTTATGGAGGCAGCACTTCCCATTTGATGCTACCTGGCTGCAGGAACACAGGAAGAATATAGTGTTTGTTTGGTGTCCTTTATTCATTTGATTGCCCGTTTATTGCCCCTCTGTGTCACAGCTGCTGGGCTTTATACCTGATTTTCAGGCCATGTAAGTCACTATGGACCCTGGCAGAAGGTGTAGGGGCTTTCCTGTGGGAGCTGTGGAGACACAGCCCAAGCCGTGGGGAGGGCTTTGCATTTTCACAGGGTAGAAGCCTTGAACACCCAAAAGTGTAAAGGTATTTCTGAGCAGTTGTAGCAGGCAGGGAGTATGGGATTGTTGGAAGATACGGGCATCACGGGGATGGAGGTGGAAGTGGCATTTCTGTTGTGCAAGGTCTCTCCCAGAATGTCTTTAGAGGAGACAAGTGGCCCTCACACGCATAGGATGCCCCACAGGGATGTGAGTCCTTCAAGGATTGAACTTTGGTTTTGCTGAATCCCAAGTGGCTCCTCTCACCCTGTGGCACTTCAGACAAGTCTCCCTCCAAGTCCAAATGTGAGCAATGAACCTGTCCTGGGAGGTGACAGGATCCTCAGAGATGGAAAAATAGTAACATGTTCTTTTGGCTTTCTCAGTGGGTTTTGCCATGGTGAAATGTTTTATTGCACTTTGCTTCTCCTTTCTCTATATACTATAATTCAAAAGAAAATCTTTAATTTATCATCAACATTATAACATCTGATATTATCAGAATGAAACGATTCCACTGTCCTGAGTGAAAGTTTAAAGGATTTTCTTTTGGGTGAAAACAACCTCAGTGTTTCAGCCTTCTCAGGGATGGCAGAACTCATCTACAGCTACCTGAAAGGAGGATGAAGCCAGGAGGTGGCAGGTCTCTTCTCCCAGGTAATAAGTGATAGGACAAGAGGTAGCAGGCTCAAGCTGAGTGAGGGGAAGTTAAGACTGTCCTGTGGCTGTGGGAGCATCTTCTTTGGCAAGGGCAGCTCCTGCGTTGGCTCCATTGGGAGCATCAGCTGCATCCCCATCACACCTGGTTTGAGTGAAACTAAGGTTTGCTCTGCCCTCGGTGTAGACCCAGCCTCCAGCCTCCCTTCCTGACCTGCCCATGGGGGAAAACCCCACTTTACTGTCTCCCAAGAGGAGAAACTGCCCGTGGGGTGCTCTGGCTCTGCAGGCCCAGACCTCGCAGGAGCCTTGGAGAAAGAGAACTCAGCAGCAGTGAAAAACAACCCATAAAACTGCCCTTATTCTGCAAACTTGGGCCAAGATGAATTTATGATCCCTCCTCCTAAGAGGGCTCGAAGAAGCAAGAAAGCTGATGATGGAGGCTCTGTTGCTGTAATGAATCTGTACTTTCCACTGCCCCTTGCTCCCTGATTTACAATGGAGTGAGGAACCTCAAAAGCAACAAAAAAACCCCTCCAAATGGAAGAGCCGCCCCATGTTTTGGTTTCTTTCTTCCCTCTCCCAGCCCTTGGCCTGTCAGGCCATTAATTCTAACAGAAACCACGGGCTCTGGTTTTTTCCCTCGAAGCCCTCAGCTGTTGCATGGAGACAGCTGCACCCTCTGGAACTAATTACAGCTGTCTGGGAGATTTAGCCCTGCGTCCCACCAACTCCAGTCTTGCTGCTAATTTCTAACACGTCCAGTTGGAAGATGTCATAAGAGGCTGATATATGATCGAATGTTAAAAGTGCTGCGGTGCAGCTGCTACCGGGCATCTGGGGGGATGGAGATACTGATGTGAAAAAGAAGGCTTTTTATTTTTAGCCTTTCTGCCCTCCCAGAGGCAGTGGTGGTGATGCCCGATGTGGGTGGTGATGGAGAGAGGGTGCTTGTCCAGAAGGGTGGTTGCAGGCGGGTCCTGGCATCCCGTGCAGGGCGGTGGGATCTTCTGTGCTTCTGTCCTCCCTCTTCCAGCTATCCACGGAGGGATCAGCACCATCGCTCTGCCAGCGCTTCCACTGGGCTCAGAAGAAGCTCCCAAAGGGGCCTCTCTGTCCCTTGTCCTGTTGTAGTCACAGCAGAGAAGGGTTTCTATCTCCTGGAGGAGAAATGTCTTGACTTGCTTTATTTGACTGTGTCTTGATTCTGGGCACAGGGTGCCCAGAGAAGCTGTGGCTGGCCCATCCCTGGCAGTGTTCAAGGGCAGGTTGGACACAGGGGCTTGGAGCAACCTGCTCTAGTGGAAGGTGTCCCTGCCTGTGGCAGGAGTTGGAGCTGGAGGAGCTTTACGGTCCCTTCCAACACAAACCACTCTGGGATTCTAGGATTGATTCTTTCTTCTCAAATGATTATTCAGCCCTTGTGTGTTTCCTCAGGGATTTAACCTGGTTCAGCCTAACTCTTCCCCTGAGCTGTTCCCTGCCTGGCTGTGGGAGCTGGTTCTGGTGCTTCCCGGGGAGCCAGGAGGAGCTGCCGGTTGTGTTTGCTCCATAAATCCTGTGAAACTGCTTGAAGCCGGGATTGTCCTTCCTGACCTTTCTGTCTGTCTCCTCTGAAACGTGAGTCTTGCCCATCCTTCTCCTAGTATGAGTGACCCATGTGGCATTAGGCTCCTTTTAATGCAGATAAAGCCAGATAACTTCTTCATGACCTTCTTGAGGATGTTCCCATGTCTGCAGACAGCAAGTTCATGCGTGCTGGCAGTCTTCTGCATCAGAGGGAGCTCAGAGACCTCTGGATCCCTTCCACCAGCCAGAAGGTCTTTGTGTGAGCCCCAAAGTTGCACAAAACACAAGCAATTGCTGATAAGGTGAGCTGTAGCTTGTAGTGGTTCCTTGGTCTGCAGGTGACTGTGAGTGTGAGCATCTCACCTGAGTTACAAGCTGTCCAGGACTCCAAGTGATGCTTGTAAACTCTGTGAGCCCTGAAATGAGAGGCTCTGGTGAGTATTAAACTCTGCAGCTTTTACAGACTGGAGTCTTGCAAGGAAAGGTTCCAGGTTTTCCATGTTTCTCCCACTAACCGTGGGGTGGACAGAGAGGATGGATAGTGCAGGGTCTGGATGCTGCTGTCGTATTCTGATGCTCAGAGTTATTTCTACTGCAGTTTCTCCACACTTTGGTTGCTGTAGCTGTGTGAAGGCTCTTTGGTACCTCTGTTTCCCAGAAACCTTAGGTCTTGTGTCCTGGATCCCAGAGATGTGCTGGCAGTGCAGGAGTCCTGGGCTTGTGGTGTTCCAGAGCTATCAGCTCATCACTGGGTGAGTGGTCCAGCTCCTGGAAGAGTTTCACATGGAGTTTACAACCTTCACAGCCCACAGAGCTGTGCAGGTTCCTTCTCCATGGATCTTGTCATCCTGATGTGGACTGTGCATCCCAGCACACCAGCTCATGGCTCAGACGGAGCGCGCTGGGGGAAGCAGAGTGACTGTGGTTGGGACAAGTCTGTGGCTGAATTTAGAGGTTAGGGGCTTGGGGGGACTCTTCAGATTCTTTTTTAGGCTCCGAACAGAAGAGTTCGAAATGTAGTCGGATAGAAAGGCAAACTTCATGCCACAAAAATGCATCTTCAGTTGCATGTGGTCTCTTTAATGCTCACACAGTTCTAGTTTTACATGTCAACCCCTTTGATAGTGAGCATTTTAATAGACAGAGAACATATGGGAAAAATCATACCAAATCAGATGATAAGTATTATTTTATGTGGGCAAAGCCTGCTCGAAAGGGACAAGGAAATTTTCATTCCAGAGGGGTTATAGGACAGTCCTTGAGATTGGGGAGAAGGTGTTTGTGTGTCTGGTGCAGAGACCTGGCATCTCCTGAGGTCACCTGGGTCTCCTCAGGTAGGTCAACTACTCTCTTGTGCTCTGCATCCCCCTCTAGAAGATGGGAATTCTGTCTGATGGGGTTTGCAGATAGCTCCTTCTGCATGGGGCATCCGTTACCCCCATGTCATGGGTGTGTGTGGAGATGGGTCCAGCTTAGTAGATGCTCTGCAGTTGCTTAGTGAATTAAAACCCCAAAATCCCCAGTGTGGGAGGTAGAGGGAGGCTTCGCGCAGGAGAGGGACTGACATAAAACCAGTTAATGAAGCTTTCTGGGGAGGGGGATGTGGTGTTCTGAATTCAAGAAAGCAAGGAAGCAGCTTGGAAGTCTCCAGCTATCCCAGGCAGGAGCCCGCAGGCAACCCAGGCACACGGGAATGTTGCTGCTCTGTAATGTCTAATTATTAACAGGAAATTTTGTGCTCCTGTGAAGTAAACACTGTGGGAGCAACACTTCAGCCCCCTTTTGACTTTGAGCAGCCTCAGCAAAGAGGAGGGAGAGAAGGTGCAGAAGCAGCCCTGGCTATAATGAAGCCAGCAGCTGCAGGGCAGCATTTATAGTGATGAGATGCAGGTTTGTGCACCCGAGCCCCGCCAGGGCTAAGGCATCATCTCTTCCTTTTCCCATTGACCTTCCTGTACTTGGGGGCTGGTATCCTGCCTCCCTGCAGCTCCTATCAGCAGGCAGGAAGAGGGAATGCTGGGGTGGCCCAGGAGGCTCTGCTGTGGTGCAGTATGGAAGTGGGGGACATCTCCACCCCACTCTTCCCTCAGCACCCAGCCTTAACCCATTGTTTAAATCAGAGCTGCCCCCATGCAGCTCCAAATGCTTCCATCTGGGCTTCCTTGGATCCCCCCTTTATCCTCAGCAGAGGGGGAAACATGGGGATATTTCTCCTGCTTACATTCCAGCCAGGAGACAATCAGAAAACAGATTTACTGTGGGTTGCTGCAAGGCAGCAGCAAGTGCTGGGCATGAGGAACAGCTCCGTGTTCATGTGCTGTGTCAGGAGAATCACTCCTGCATCTCCCATCTGGGTACCAGCAAGATCTAAATGGAGATGTCGAGATGTGATGATGACAGCAGACCTTTTAATCTGTTGTCTCCAATCTCCCATGCTTCCCATTGGAGTGGCAGCATTCCGAAGGTGAGCACTAATGGCAAATATGCAGGAGCCATCCCTAATTATTTTAGCAGTAGGAAGGAACTTTATGGCTGCCCAAGGTGCAGCGAGCAGCTGCGGGAGTGCCGTGCCCTGCTCAGTAGCAGGGTTTGTATTTTAGTAGTGAAGCAAAGCAGGTTTAAATGAGCATTGACATGACTTTGACATTTTTATTTTGTGGCTTATTTTATGAACTTAGCCAGCAAAGGCAGCGATGCACTCTGCAAACAGGGACCACATCGCTGGAGGACCGGGGTGTTACTCCTTCTCTTGTCAGCATGCCCTACATCAAGCGGGACCAAACGGAGCAGCACGGTCAGGCTCCGAATGTGTTTGGCGACACTGATGAATGCTTCTTTCTGCACTGTTTGCAAAGCTCCTTTTCTGGCAGCTCCCAGGGCAGCCAGAAAACAGATGCGCTCGTAGCCCTGCTAATAAGCTGTGGAGCAGAAGGAGCAGCCACAGGCTGGGGCTGAGGGATGCTGGGGCTGGAGTCGAGCTCTATACCTAGAAATGTCCCGGGCAGAAACGCTTCATAGTTGCTCTCAGAAAACAATTTTCCTGCTGTTGTTCTTTCAAACTTGGTTGTAGAGAGGTGTATGGAGCTTGGAGTGCACAGGGGGGTCTTAAAGCTCCTCTATCTGCTGCATCATTATTCAATTGCATCCCTGTGAGGGTGCTGAGGCTCAGGGTACCCAGAGAAGCTGTGGCTGCCCCATCCCTGGCAGTGTTCAAGGCCAGGTTGGACACAGGGGCTTGGAGCAACCTGCTCTAGTGGAAGGTGTCCCTGCCCGTGGCAGGGGTCGGAGCTGGATGAGCTTTAAGGTCCTTTCCCACTCAAACTAGTCTGTGATTCTAAGATGAGCCCAGGAGCTCCCCAATGCAACAGGGATGGCCACATTGCTGCTTCTGGATGCAGGCATCCCAAGGATGGATGGATGGAGCACTAGGATGCAGGAGCCAGCCAGGCTGAGCACCCTCAAGCTGATTTCTTCATCCAGCTATGGAAAAGCTCAAAACCTCCACTCCCAGGGACTGTAAACATGGTCTGATCCCTTCCACCTTCTCTTGGCATCCCCTCCTGATGAGGCTGTGCTTTGTCTCCCTGCAGGTGGATCCGAGGGGAGCACTTCAAGTACAAATTCAGCCAGCCCGGGGGAAAGCACGCCAGTGAGGGAAAGTGGTGGATTCGGAAGAGGATCGGCCCTTACTTCCCCCCTGTCAACCTCAAGGGTCTGAAGAAGTTCTATGAAGACAGGAATTGGCTGTACCCTGTGCGGGACTGATGGAGGAGGATGAGCAAGGTCGAGAGGGACCAGCTGGGGAAGAGGGGGAGCAGCAGCTCCCTAACAAACAATCTCTCTTGCCTCTCTCTGTATTTTTTACCCATACCCTTGTTTACACATATTCCCAGCCAACTGTCTACCTGCTGTTGTGCTCTGGTTTTTCTCCTCTTTCTTTTTGTTCATCCTTCTCATCACAGCCTTGCCTGATGACTGATACCTATCGCCAGGCCGCTCCAGAAATCATCAGCAATAGAATGTGGGAGGAAGGCGAACAAATACCATAGTTCGTTTGGGGTAGGTGTTGGTGCTGCTTTCCCTGGCCCAAGCAGCCTGGGATTTCTCTTGTCCCTCCTGTTTCCTTTAGAGTCTCCCCTCGTCTCAATTTGTGTTTAAAATCACCCCAAATTGTCCCACCACATGGGTTTTGCTTGGTGAGCCCAAATCACAGTGATGGGAGGGAAGTGAGAGCACGACATGGCCTGCATCTGAAACAGGCAGCGAGTGCCTGGGGTGGTTTATCATAATCGATTCCTTGTTAGCACCTTCTGCTGCACATGGTTCTTCTTGCAGGGGGAAAAAGAGATCAAAGCCACACATAAAACCCTGTTGTTTCAGGCTCGCCTGCAGAAAGCCACAGGTTTACTGAGGAACCCAAAATAGCTCCTTGCAGGAGCTGCCGTGTGGGCTCTGTGACTCAGCCCCGAGGACAAGCACAGCCCTGTGCGGCCGCTCCGTCCCGTGTCCCAGTGCTGCCGATGCTCCTGGGTCTCCGGGTTGGGAAGGAGGCCGGAGTCAACACGTCTGCCGCCAGCCCCACCACCTCTGAACAGGGCTTGTTTGAACGGGGCCTGGCCTGGGCTGTGCCTTCCTGTTTGCTTAACCTGGGATTTGTACAACTGGGGCTTTTTTGTTGTCGGCCCCAGGGCTGAAATCCGCCTGTTTGGGGAGCTGGAGGTGTCTGAGCAGCTGGGATCCAGGAGGAGCCGAGCATCCCATGGGCATGGTCCAGCACCGCCGCCTGCACAGCCACGCACCCGGGCAGGGAGAAGCACAGAAAGGAGCTTTCCAAGCTTTTCCCTCTGGGTTTTCGCAGTGACATTCCCCTTGGCACCCAGGGGAGGAATTCCAGTGGCCGGAAAGCTTACAATGAGGCTTTCACCCTTCAGAGCAAATTGAGCCCAAGCCATGTGCGAGGGGAAAGCGTTGCTGTGTGCCAGGCTCAGAAGCAGCTCAGGGGCCACCAACCTTGTGGGGACCAATGGGCCCTGTGGGGCAGTGGTGGTGGCCCCATCTCTGTCCCCGGTGCCCATCCCCTCCCATGTGAGACGTGCCAAAAACATCTGAATGTGGTTTTGAAAGAAATATGGGTCCAAACTGGGAAAAGCAAAGCAACCAGTAACTGGAACTGGCCCGGGGCAGTGCAGGCTGTGGGTGCGGGCACAGAAATGCCATTTTACACATTTCTCCTCCCTTTTTGACTGCCCGAATCAAATGGGCATATTTCTGGCGAGGGATTAAAGCAAACAGCTTTGAATAACCAGCAGGAGCTTCACTCGTTTTTGAGTCCAACGTTAAAAGTGTTGGACAAGAGCAGCAGCCCCGGGAGGGCAGCCGAGCCCTGGGTGCAGTCCTGCAGTGCCTGCTCTGCTGCCAGCTCCCATGGGACCAAGGTGATGGGTGATAAATAAGGTGAGTCCTGGGTGTCACAGCACTCGTTTGTGTTTGAGGAGTGTCTGGTGGTGTGTCCGAGCGTCTGGTCACCATCCCAGTGATGCTGGGCTGTGAAAGCATCACTCACCCTTCCCTTCTCTGGTGTGTTCAAGGGTATGTTTGGGCTCCCTTTTGGTTTGGGGATGCTTTTCCTTCCTGGCTGCTCCATCTCTGGTGGATCCAGCTCAGGATGGCTGGAGGACCCTCATGGCCTCATGCCTGGGAGCCAGGAGGGTCCAAAGTATGTGGGTTCCCAGGGGTACCTGGCTTTCGGGAGTGGTGGCTGGTGGTTGGCACTGGGAATGCCGTGCCCATCCCTCAGAGCTGCTGCGCTTCTGCAAGATGTTAATGCTCTTGGTCCTTTCTGTTCCTTGGGTCTTTTTGGACCCAAGACGAAGTGCAGGGCTTGTAGTAACATCCAGGGTGCTCCAAACTGTAAATCACGTTTATGACTCAATTGTGTTTTCCTAAATATTTGCCATAGTTGGAAACCAACACTGTGTGTGAACAATGGAAGAACATTTTGTTCCCATTAGCGCGCAGAGGGACGCGGGCGAGTGCTGCGATCCCGCATCTCGATCCCATTATCATCCTTCCTGGCTTGATTGCCCTGCCAAGTGGCTGGGGATGGAGGAGCCCAGGCTGTGTCCATCAAGAGCTGGTGCAGGTTTTAGCTGCAGGGTTGTATCTGCATAGAGAGATGAGTACGGGAGTGTATCTCGGTAGGTGTGGGAGATAGGAGCACGGCTTCACGCTGAGCATCTCCCACCTCTGTGAGCTCCAGCACTGACAGATATTGCTTTGAGCATGTTCTTCGTCTTTATTTTCTTCTCCCATGGCTGAAATTGGGCCCTGGAGTTGGATGCACAGAGCAAGGCTGGACCCTGTCTCGTGGTCCTATCTCACCTCTCCCAGGACCCCTGTCAGGATGTTGTTGGCAGGTGAGTTGGCTGAGAGCAGCACACACCATCCATGTGCTCTCTGCTGCCATGGGATTATGGAGCCTCCCAAGAAAAAGCACTTCACACCTCCCCAGCTCTGGGGACATCCACTTGCGGAGCCTTTGCTGGGCTGTCCCCTGCCACCAGCACCTTCCCTGCCCCTTTGGGGCCAACCCCACTCACTCCAAGGAGGGCACTTCCCACAGCAAAAAGCCCTTTAGGATCCCACTTCCATGGCTGCACCCATCCTTCTGCCTTGGGATCCTGCACACAAAGCCAGGGGATTTCAGTCACCGTTAAGTCACACTCTGCTTCCTGTTCCCATCCATCTCTGTGTGTGCCAGGGCACGGGGTGAGGGTGCCTCCCTGCATGGGTAACTGGTGATGGGTGACACACATCCCCCGGGCATCCCCAAATGGTGCTGGCCTCCCTCCTTCCCAATTTAATTAATTTCTTTTGCTTTCCAACCTCTGGGTCAGGGCTAATGGAACCCAGACCAGCGTTTCCATCCCTGTTTGTGCTCGTAGAGCTTTTATTTCTCTCCCTTTTCTCTTTCTTTTCTCTTTGAATCAAAACTCCTCGCTCCGCTCCGGAGCGCTGCCTGGAAGATAATACACATTCAAAGGCAGTGAGGAAGGTGCATGAGGGGATTAAATTGGAAACGTTTCCCTGGGATAAAATTGTAAAGAAGAAACAATTATTTCAAGGGGGGAGGAAATCGGAACCACACTGTGTTATCTGTCGACTAGAAGTTTGCTTGGAGAGGGCGTTTGCTCTGTAAAACTGTGGCATTCCCAACTCAACGCGCCGTAAATCCATGTGGAAGATAACTCTGTCTGTGCTCTGCATCCTTCCTCACTTTCCTCAGGGACACACACCAAGCACCCAGCAGAGGGGATCAGGTCCTGACATCAGCTCCGTGGGCCCTGGGTTGCAGGGTTTGAATCCATCAGTCAAAACAATGACAGCTCCCTTATCTCGGCTGTTTTCCCAGCTCATCCCCGTGATCCAGATGTTCGTCTGGATCCTGTTTTCCCTCCTACTGTTTCTGTCTGAGGTCCGATTAGGTCCCAAAGCCACTAGATGGGAAGGATGCAGCCAGGCTGCTTGCCCCGTATCAGCCTTGAGCAGCTCAGGCTCCCACTGCCCCTGGAGCGTCTCAGGGGACATTGTGAGGTCGAAAGCAGAAGCTTCTGCTCTGTTCTCCCATCGGGGTTTATTTCTGCTGCCGGAACACAGAGAGGTTCCCAACTCCACCATCACCGTGCTGGTCACTGGGCCTTGGGAGGACGTCTGCCCATCACCAAAACCCCTTGAACAGACAGTAATAAAAGCCTCTAGGATTGGTGTAAAACCCCTAAGATTTTGGGGAAAAAAGCCATTCCTTCCATTTGAGATTGACCGGGTCACATTTTCAAACCTTTCTTTATCTAAAAGTGTGGATTTGATCCATGTTTTGGGAATGTGGCTCCACTGGGGTCAGTGATGAGGAGCTGCTGGAGAAGGTGAACTTGTGCCTATGCGAGATCCTCATGCAGGGCTCAGCCCTGGTAGTATCCATAACAGCAGCTACAATGCACCAACCCCGAGATTTCCTTAGTCCTGGATCATTTCTAACTTGTAGTTACTTGTTTGAAAGTAGCCAACCTTCAGTCTGGCAGTTCCTGTAAGAAATACATGGATTCCTATGCCTTCCCTGCTCCCAGCTGCTTTTAGAAGCTGGCTTTACTTTAACACATATTAAAGGAAAGAGCTTTTTCCCTTCCCAGTAGATTAAGTTTGGCTAAACAATTCAGTGTGAACTGCTGGGCATGAGGCAGAAACCTGTAGGCTAAATTACGCAGCTGCTCCAAGTTTAGACCAGCATGGGATGAATTTCAGGATCGTATATTAGTTTTCATTTAATCTGATTATTCTAGGCTGGAGTTCCTGGAGGGTCTTCAGGTTATTGTCACTCAAAAGGATCTTTAAAAGCTTCCATTTGCACTCAGCTTTTCCCATTCGAAGCCTATTTTCATTGTGGATCGATCTTTATTTTAATGAAAAAGTCATTCTCCCAACCCCCTGCCTTTTCTTTCCCCCCCAGCTGGGGTTAAAACCGGAGCCACAACAGGGTCTTGCCACTCAAAATACCATTTTCCTCTTTTCCTGAGGGCTGTTGGCTTGGTTGAAGGAGCTTGGGCAGATGACGAGGGGGCAGATAATGCCCAAAGGCAGCTCCTCTGCTCCCAGTGGTGCTTCCCGGTACCTGCCTGGTTCCCCTCACTGGGAAAACACTTGAAGTGGCTTGAATCCCGGGGGGATTTCTAGCTCTAAAGTCTCAGAGACTAATGCAGGACTAATAGATCTTAAAAGCCTGTTGCTGGATGGCTCCGAGTCGTGCTGTCAATTCAATGGCTGATTTCTATCTGCTGCCTCCTCCCAGATTCCAGCCTGGATTGCAGCACAGCCTGGCAGGGGTTCCAGTGGGAGCAGCCCGCCACGGGATGGGAAGGGAATGAACGCCATGGTTTGTGCTGGTGAGGACACCCTTGTCAGCTCTGGGTTTTGCACAGGAGTGGCAGCTTTGTGCCTTCAGGCTTCCTGGTGGTGCTGAGCTGAAGGCACTTCCCTGGAGCATCCATCCTGCCTTGGCCCATTGCTCCAGGTGGGATGGCAAAGGGCTGGAAACCCACCCCAGGTCTGGGGAGGAAAAAACCAATGTGGAGACCTCCACAGATAAACCCCAAACCCTTTATTTGTGCAGGATTTACACTGGATGTGCCAGCCTGAACCTTCTGGAGTCCATGTACCATCCATGCTGCTCTGGTAGGTGATCCCGGCGCTGACCCACTGGGGAGCAGGACCGTGCCAGCCTGGTGCAAGGCTCTGCAGGGATATTCATGTCCTGGTACCTTGTCATTCCCTAAAATCCTCCTTTTGCTCATGTTTCTCCCACAGACAGGTAGGGAGCAAGGTGCCAAATCATCCTTGTGTGGATGCCAGGCACCACACAGGTCCCCTCCGATGGCATTGGGGTTTTCCATTCTCCTCTGCCTCCTCCTTCCCCCTGTGAGCAGGATGAGGCCCAGCCTTCAGTCTTCCACAGTCAGTGGGATTTTGCCATGTCCTTCCCATCCCCAGAACACGAGGTTTTCCCTCAACACAGGCTGGGAGCCTGCCTCCTCCACGGTAGCCGCTCCGGATAAGGTTGCACATGGCTGAGCCTTTTTCCCTGTGCGTGCCTGTTGCTGGGACAATTACACTAAAATCACACCACCTGCAAGTGGTTAGTTAGAATAATAAATAAGTGATAGATTATCAAATAAAGCGTTGGCTTCAGATGAGGTCATCCCAGCCCCGTGTCGTGGGTCTCGGAGGGTTTGCAGCCTGCTTTCCGTGGGCTAAATAGCTCTTGTATCAGTCAATAAAGAACTTGTCGAGATTAAAGAATCAATTAGGTATTAGCCAAAGGGGCAGAAAGCGTAACCCAAACATGCTGATAAAATCCAGTGGGTGATTATGGGAATGGTTCTCATTTCATTTTACTTTTGAAAGGAATAATTGCTCGTTATAGAGCATGGAGGAGCTGGACTAGATCCTTTTCCAGGTTTATAGAGGAGGAAATCCTAGCGTGTGGCTGTCGAACGTGGAGGCACGACGTGCTTTAGCACTGAAAGGGTAGGTTTTGATCTTTACTTTGAGGAGCATCGTTTTGTCCTTGTAAAAGTGGCAAGGGGAGCTTGGTTGGTTATTTGGTGGAGCTTTGTCCCAGAACTTGTCCTGTTCCAGCGCACATGTCCAGGATAAGGAATGATGCTCACGGTAGAGGCAAGAGGGATGGGACCAAGCATCAGTTCATAGTCTGCTTATCACACAATCTTTGATTAACCAAGTAAAATCTGATAAGCTGAAAAAGCATTTAGGGATATATGTATTAGAGGTTTTTTCCCAATATTTACAAGATGGCTTTCCATTTTCCGGGAACACACATCTGGAGCACCAGCCCCATCCTGGGCTGGCAGCTCGTGGTTGGGAATCTGGCTGCACAATGTCACCTTGGGCTAATTCATGTGAACATTTATTAAGTGTTAGTCTAGTGCAAAGCCTTACCTCATGTTGGGCCCAAAATAGGGAGTACCCACTGGAGGATGGCTCCTTGGGAAGGAGCGGTGGGAGCATCCCACCCAGCGCTGTGGATGCTCCCGGGATGCGGCTCCAGAAACCCAGGGGAAGAGCAGCAGAATGGGTCACTCTGGTTTTGCCTTTGTGTTTCTGCAGAACGGGGCATCCTCCAGATGGTTTTCCAGGGAGGAAAGTTCAAATGAATTATTGCTTTTCTTCCCCCCTCATATTAAGAGGGAATGTTTAGTTTTACAAGGGGGAAAAAAGCATGGAATGCATCGTTTCCTTTGTAAGTCTTCCAGTACCTAGAGGGGCTAGAAGAAAGCTGAAGAGGGGCTTTGGACAAGGGCCTGGAGGGACAGGACAAGGGGAATGGCTTGAACCTGCCAGAGGGGAGATTGGGATGAGCTCTTGGACAGAAGCTCTTCCCTGGGAGGGTGCTGAGGCGCTGGCACAGGGTGCCCAGAGAAGCTGTGGCTGCCCCAT